TGAGCCAGTGCGAGAACGGGCTGGAGCTGAGCTTCCAGGACAGCGCCTCTCTCTGGGGCGGGCCGCGGAAAGACACCATGGGGGACCTGCCTTGGGACTCGCCTGCCATGGTCCAGGAGCTGGAGGATGCTGTCAGGTCGCTGAAAGACAGGATCGACAAGATTGAGGCAAGGCATGAACCCCCCTCCCCTCCCACCGCCCCCCAGCTCTGCGAGATCACCCGCCTTGCGTCCCCTGCCCCATCGTTCCCCTTCTCCTCTCCTCTCCGTGCCCCTCAGCCTTTCTAAGCCTTCTCACCACTCCCTTGGAACAGCCCTCTCCAGGGCTTTCCTAGAAAATAGCCTGTGGGGTGGGGGTGGGGTTAGTGTATTTGAATACTTCATGTAATTAAATCAGAGATACGCCGCACTCTGGTAAATCAGAGACAGCCTGGCAAGCCCTCAGTGTTGTGTGTGTGGTGGAAAGGGGGCCCATAATGCATAAAATCTATGTGTGTGTGATTCCTCACTGTCTTTTCTCTGGCTTCAGTCTACTCTTTGATGTGAGATTTCCTGTGATAAATATCCTTCATTGAAATAAGTTAAGTAGCTTTCATAGAAATCAGAAAAGGAGTGTGTGTGTGTGTGTGTGTGTGTGTGTGTGTGTGTGTGTGTGTACAGAAATAGAAAAGGATATTTCATGTCCTCCTCCCATCCTTCCAGATGCCCCACCAATGTAGGATTGTTCCCTACAGGATAGTCACAGCCTAGTTTTAATTGACTCTCAAGAGATGGGGCTTTCATCTCTTCCCTTCAAAGACTATTATTTGTGTAAAAGACTTCAGGACATTTTCTAGATATCCATTCAAACATTCTGTAGGCATCTATTCTTCATCAATGGGGGCATGTATCCCGTTCAGCTACATACTTCAGCTAGTTTGTTTTGAAACTATTTTCTCCATTCCCAACATATCTAGAGTGCTTGTTTAGGGTTAGAGCAGGCCACCAGTGCTCCCACAAAGTATTACTTTACTCTGCCCATTGTCCTATTGGTGTGGGGGAGAGAAGCAGCATGGAGTTAGTAGGGCTAGATTCTGCTGCCATCAGACATAATGAGAAGTTTCTTACTTATCAAGTTATGTCACTGATAGCAATGGGACTGCTTGCACAGTAAGGCTGTCGACTATGCATTAGGAGCAAAGGTGGCAGAATATGCCCCTAATTATTACACTAATATCAATAATTAATATATGACTATTGCTTACATAAGAAATGATGGGAATCATGAAAGTGAGGCCATGAAAATATTTGTTTACACTCAAGAAATGGTCTTATATCATTTTCTGCTTCTCTGCAGTGCTATTCCTCTTCCCGTCCCTCCTTTGGGGGTCACTGCCTATGTTCCAGTCTCTAGACTGGGTACAAGTGGAGGAAAGCAAGCCTTACATAAAGATGTACAACGGCTGTTCTCCTTGGTGGGTGGAGGTGGGATGGTCTGTGTGTGGAAACTGACTTTTCATGTTGTCAGTGACCTGTGGCAATCTGAAGGAAGATACACTCCTTTGCAAAGTGAGCTAAATCTCTCTTTTCTTTCTGGAATATCTTCTGGATAGATCTCAAACTGGGGGACACTGATGACTTTGTGTACATTAAAGGGGTGAATTGCTGACCCCATTGAAGTCCATGACTTTGATGGGGTCAGGATTTTACAAAGGTGTGTAGTGTTTCATCAGGGAACTTTACGAGGAGACATGTTTCTTATAACAAATAAAAGGTTGCCCTTTCCCTGTAGAATGAGCATAGGTTTGCCACTCAGAACCAAAGGACCCCTCCCAAGATCTGTATGGATCTTAGGAGATCTGCCAGAGGCCAGGGCCATCTGTATAGAAATCGGGGTATTGGGAATGAATCTCAGCCCACTGATCACCCATCCAGGGCCAGTCCTAACCAATTGGTGGCCCCAGGCGACTGCCCAGCTCACCTGTAGGGTTGCCAGATGGTTAAAAAAAATACTGGACAAAAATTTGTCAAGGAAAAAAGGGGGGGAATTGGGGAGTAACCAAGGAAACCTGGGGATTCGGGAGGTCAGGCAGGCATGCGGTCATGGCCCACTCCTAAGGCCGGCTCTGTCAGTAGTCCTTTGAAAATGGTGGCCCCGGGCGACCGCCCGGCTCTCCCGCATCTTAGACCGGCTCTGCTCCCATCTGTCTCCCTGGCAGGAGATCCCCCACTCATTTCTGTCTATGAATGAAAAGGAAGCTTCCAGCATGGGAGAGTGAGGTGGGGAGAGTGAAAAGTTAATTCAGGCTCATGTCTCCTACGACTGACTCATCTCTCCACACCGAGTTCTCTCAACTCTTGGAAGGCTCTCAGTGGATTTTTTGGGGTGGGGGGAGGAGAGGAGAGGAGAGGATGCCATGAAAGCAGCTCATCTCTACCAGACAGGAAGGGGCAGAGCTATATATTGTGGGAATCCCAAAGGCATGGAATCTAGAGATGGATGGACGGAATGATCCCTCTCTCAGAGACACCATCATCTAAGATAACTTTCTGCATGCAAGGAGAGAAACTCCTGTTCAGTGAGAGAGAGGCTGATACATACACAGAGAGAGCTAACGTAATACATGTAGCCACACAGATTATCCATGCAACAGATGGGCAGAAAAGTACAAGAAGAGATAGAGAAAAACAAAGACAGAGGGAGAAACAGATATGCAGGCACATGGATGGAGGGACAAATGCATGCAGGTTGGAACAGACTATGAGACACTCACAGAATTATAGATTCACCCAGATATGTGGAGTAAGGAGAACTAGTGAGCTACTAGGGCATGTCTATACTTAATGCAAGAGCAACACTCAAGGTCGATCTTAGTGTTTGATTTAGAGGGTCTAGTATAGACCTGTAAATCGAATTTTGAGAGTAGCTCCTATTGGCTTCCGCTACTCCTGCTCTTCCCAGGAATAAGGGAAGCCGACAGGAGCATTTGCTGTGGAGTGGAGGTAGCAGCCTCTGTTGTGGTCGTCTGGGCTGACTGATGACAGAGATTGCTCCGGCAGCAGCCTCCCCTAACTCCACCCCCCACCACCATGCTTCTGCCTCTGATAGAGGCAGCAGCACAGTGCGGGGAGGTGGCACCATGGAGAAAGTGCTGGGGGAACCAGCTTTTAAGCCAGCTCCCCCCAGCACTGACTCCTGCTTCCCTGCCCCTTGCTGCCTCTGATACAGAAGCAGCAAGGGGGGGGGGAATGCGAGTAATCAACTAGATTAACTGTTAAGCCTACGCTGATTGGGTAATCGTCTAGTCAACTAGTCGTTCACATTCCTATGACAAGGTGGATAATGTGATGCCTTTTAGCTGTATCATTATGTGCCAAGAATTGTGTGGCCACAATTCTATACCTTCCAAAAGCAGCTCCCTATTTCAGGAGCTGGTGAGATGGTTTATAATATAAAAACTATTTTGACCTGTTTCTGTCATTTCAAATGGCAGTTGCAGGACGTCCGGGGTGAGATGATGAGGTGAGGGAAGATACTATCATTGGTGGACCTTCCTATTTCTGTTTGTTTGTACTAACACAGAATAGAGAGGGAGACAGATATGCATGCGGAGGGCCAAATTCTTCTCTCAGTTGCACCAGGGAAAAAGAGCACACGTAAAAGTAGCCATTTGATGTGAGGCTAATATCAATGCCTCAGAGAATGGTAGCTAGTGGGCCAAGAGCATAGTCTATATTGTATCTTCTGGGAGACACGCATGTTTATACTTTGCAGTCAGTTTTCAGTTCCTCACAGACCCAGGCCAAGGGAGCAAGCAATTGAGTAAATAGGGCAGTATGTCACAGACAGGTGGGGATAAAGCTTCCCTTGCTTAAGCCTGAAAAACAGGTCTTTTAGAATGTACTGCATATGACGGTCCAATACAGTATCAAACCCTAGAAGCCAGAGGTGGAGACCGTCTATTAGCGTACATCTAATCTCTATGCTGCACAGCTGCTGCCTGCAGCGTACTATCCAGTTGTTTGTCTGGTGCAGTACAAAATGTCGGAATCTATTGAACTTTTCCACTTCCCCTGGGAGGCTAGTCCACAGTCTGAGATATCATACTTCTAGGGAGCCCACACAATGAGTTTGCACTTGGTCACACCGAATACAAGACAGAACATCCAATTATGAAGCAGGAAAGTGGTAGTCCCTCTTGATTAGGCGGCCTCTCAAATACTACATTCAATTTTGGGAAGGAAGAGAGCAGAAGAAGACATCAGCAACTTGGCAGAAGCAACCCAAATGACTGGGGATGGGAGTGATTGACCAAGGAAGGCAGATTAAAAGAGCTGAGCACATAACAGATCACAAGAATTTTCAAGGTATTGCTTTTAAGAAGAGGAGGAATTGTTTAGCATGGGTGTCACTAGGGGTGTGTCTGACGATAGAGGGATGTAGATTAGGCACATCACTATTGCAAATGAAGCGGGGATTTAAATATCCCACGTTTCATTTGAATAGAAATGACCGCCGCTTTTTGCCGATGTGGCACTTTGCCGGCAAAAAGCGGCAGTCTAGACGGGGATCGGTCAACAAGGAAAGCCTGTCTGACCGATCCCTTATGCCTCGTGCAACAAGGTTTACAGAATCGGTTGGAAAAGGCTGCCGCTTTTTGCCGGCAAAGTGCCACGTCGGCAAGAAGCGGCAGCCATTTCTATTCAAATGAAGCGTGGGATATTTAAATCACCGCTTAATTTGCAATAGCGATGTGCCTAATCTACATCCCACTGTTGGCAGAGGGGTGTAGTTTAGACACACTCTAGGAGCAATAAGAAGGAATTGAGCAAAGGGTAAACTTCATCTGAATTTTAAGAAACATTCCCTCAGGGTAAGATTTCTTAGGCCTGTGGAACAGTCTCACAAGGGAAGTAGTGGAAGCCCAAGCAAGTTGGCACTTTTAGATAGGATTGGACAAAGCCGAGATTGAACTACATTGGGAATATTTGGCAGTATTTGGAAATGGAGGGGTTGGACAAAATATGGCCTAATATGTCTCTTCTAAATTGTGATTTTCTTGCCTTTCCATCCAGATTGTGGTGTTAGGTTGCATCTTTGCACCTCAACTTGTAGTTTTATTTGCTTTCTGCTAAAAATCTTTTTAACGGATAAGAATTGTTTGTGGGGGGAGGGGCGATAAGTGGGG